TATATATATATATATGGATTACAGCACATCTTTCCTACTTTCAAACTCACAAAAAACAGTCTCCTCATATCTGCACGATTTTTTGGCCCATGCACTTCTACGTTTCAAGATCAGACGGACAAACTTGATTAAACGATCTGTCCGATTATCCCGATCGCCATTATCGAAAGTGATGTGGTCACGCGGCCATTTTATCATTACATTGAGGGTTAGCGGATCTGCTCAAGCGATATCAGAACAGAGTACGCGTCTTATTCCTAGTGTCACCTGTGGACTTCAGGCAAGTTGGCTGATGTTAAGCATGTATGCTCTGTATATTTGTTTTGTCGAGCATGACGCATATTCGTTGCTTGTAATGAGTACAGATCTGTAAGATATCGATGTAGCAGCCAACCGCCCTTTTTGGCTTCATCGCTCGGTCCACAGAACACGTGCTTCCTTGTCTAAGATACCTGTTTTGTAAACACTACTGAGACATAACCATCGCTTGAGTGCTATCCAACCGCACTGACCGTCTTGATTGTAAAGACATACCTTAGTTTTTCGTCCCACCGGCTTGCTTACTCTCCTGCTTTGTTCGGTTTTGTAAACACTACTGAGACATAACCATCGCTTGAGTGCTATCCAACCGCACTGACCGTCTTGATTGTAAAGACATACCTTAGTTTTTCGTCCCACCGGCTTGCTTACTCTCCTGCTGTGTGCTTAACGGTTTGAAATAAAAAAAACCTTAAACTGGTTTGTTCTCATGACCAGAACCAGTCGGTAAGCCATACGTAGAATTTGCTGGATTGGCTTATCAGTTCTTAAATTGATTATTCCTACTCTTGAAGTTATAATTCTAGCATTTGAAGCTAACATTTTATTTAGTCTTGCCCGTCGAATTGTCAGTACCTCTTCCATCGAATAGACCAAGTGTACCGTATTTACAAGTCACAAGCTGGGTATGGAAACATCCATCAACTTAAGCATACTGATTGACTGATAAGGTTCCTGCAGATCGGTTTCACTATTCATTGGGCTAATCATGCAAGCGCAGTCAACCTTTTCGTCAACCTTATGTTCCACTTACACCCAAATTGGACCAAATCTAGCAAATGCACTCGTTTGCATATCACAGGAGACTCATCTAAAGTCCAGCTGAACATCTCGTTTATGATATCCTTCTTCAGCTGAGTGTGTTTCACCAGACTGTCTTATGTTTCAGTCCGGACAACATTCGGTATATCGCAGCATATTGTATGGGTGCAATACACTACTCATTTGGTTGCTTAAAACCCTGATAGCACATGACCGGTTTCACCATCCTTCGGGTAGATCAGGCGCAGTCTCCAGGTTTTCGTTAACCTTAGGTTCTGCTTTAACCCACACATGAGGTGGCTTGGTGTAACACATTCAGTTGAACAAGAATACCATAAATGAGAGATTCAGCTGGAATTCAAGGGAACCTCTCATAAAAACAAGCTGGTTAGGAATTTTGTACTTTTCACTCCAGATCATTATCGGCCCTTTAAGGAGACACAATCCCATAACTCAACTGACTATTTGTGAAGGAATATTGATTAGATTCACCATTTTCTTCCGAGATCTACCGGCTGTGGAAGTGCACGTATCATGGAGCATTGCAATGAGCCGTACTTTTGAAATGCGAGGTGCCATATCACAAGTTGCCAGCTAGTTTGTGCCGTTTTAAAAATAAGTCCGCATATAATTGACTGCAACTATATTCATGGTAAAGGTTTTCGGTCTGTCCCTTTAGACCAGTTAATCAGTGGGCAGTTTTCCAGAGAGAGTTGTACTCCTGCAACGGTACACTGTCTCCGAGATCACACCAAGAATTTGCTGAATATAAATTGTTTTTGCAATGGAGCAATGTACCTTTCCTCGCATCCAAATGTACGAAGACATTTGGCTTTCGCATGCCTGCACCTCCTTACCAGTCAGACTGAATGAAAGTCGCGTGGCAGTGGTCCGCAAAACTCGGTTCCAGGTCCAGTTGTTTCTACATTATTCGCCAATCAACAATCTTCACTTTCACCATTAAGGTTGGTAGTTAAAAGAAACTTGAGAGAATGGCGAATAATCCCCCGGTCAAGGAACTAGTCTGGTAAAGTGAACTGAGTGCCGGGGAATATAAATAAACTCAAAGAGATGTGTGGTGATCTAGCCGTCAACTCAGCTGAGTATCTACAGTGTTCCCTTCCTAGTTTTCGACTGGTTATACTTTTAGAGACAAATTCACATTAGAGATAAAAATAACTATCATTCTGTCGACATTTGTTTGTGTGTGAAAATGCATAGCTGACAAGATTTTGGAGTCAGTCTGTTGCGAAAGTCGACGACGTAATCTCCTGATTTAACCCGGGGAAAAACAGAATACAGAAACTGATCAAGTATGCCATTCTTGGCACCGAGAAGCGCGATGTGGGAACTCAACGATCATTGCATATTCTTACAAAAGCTTGACTCACAAAAATATCGCTTTATAGTAATGGCGCAAAGGAAATGAAGCAAAAGAAACAAATTATTGAACAACGTACATTAATCGGTTAACAAGTAGTGTGCTGTCTGTTGTGCTTTGGCGAACAGCTGACTCACCTAGCTGACGCACATGAATTGGTGTAAAATAGGCAAGCCTGACAAAGTGGGTAATTGAAGCTTCGAGTATCGGCAGTATGTAGGAACATCCTAGTCATAAGAAAAGCCTGAAGACAACCGTTCATTTTTCGTCAAAGTATAGCTGTCTTCCGAAACCCAAGTCTTCGGTTTACCCAAGGTTATGTCATTGTTACAGGCCCATCGAGGAGCAGTGGCCACCTTATCTACTTTCGTCGTTGTGACCAACAACGGGGCTTGATTGCATACCGATGGCTTCAAGATCCTTTCACCAGTGCTCGCTGTGTAACTCTTGACTAGGTTTGAATCAACCGAAAGTATGCATTTTTCGCTTGAAGAGGCGTACTGCAAGGACGCAGCGTCAAAATAGGGTACCCCAGGAGCTAGAGAAAATTTGTACGAATCCCAGGGTGAGTGATTCAGAGGAGGGGAACAAGAACTGAATTTCACTTCGCTGTGCATGGTGCTGTTCGGTGTAAGGTTTGCTACGTCAACTTCCTGGGAAACGAATAAGAAAGCACGTGCATCTGACGTTGCCAGCACTGAATTTTGTGACCCATCCAAGACTGAGTCTTCAACTTTGCAGTTTGCCTCTCGTATTTTAGCTTCTATATCATGTACTGATTTCGACTGTAGGGGCAGGCAGGGTGGCTGCTTTGGATTAATGTCCGGTAAATATTGGGCGTTATTGCTTCGAAATTGGACGCCATTGCCGGGATAATCGGACAGTCTGATATTCATATTACGATCACGATCCACGGCCTGAATCCACTTGGGGCCTAACTCATCAATTTTTGCAGCAGAACAATCTGTTATCTCACACGGCGAATTGCGTAGACTGGGACATTTTGAATTTGGCGTTTCACTGCCGACACATGGTTTAGAAGTCAGAAATGGTTCACGAGGCGGATATAAATTATCTGGATCCACAAGTTTCGGTCGGTCCAATTCCAAGTTTGGCGAATGTACTGGGATCATAGTTACTCTTGAAGGTGTTTGTGTTGGAGGTGGAGTGCGCTGGGCTGTGTGACTGTTTTCTGGTACACCGACCACACCCTGTTCTACGATAGTTTGACGATTGGCTGACCATGCGGCTATTGCGGCGGCGGCTGCTGCTCCACTAAATCCACCGGTTGAATTTCCTGTTGACCACAGCATGCCTAGGTCATCACTGTGCGGTTGTGCTAGGTGCGACTGTTCTATACGAGTGTTAGAGATACCCGTTTCCGTGAAACTTGGACAATGTGTCATGCGTGGACAGAAATTTGTCACGGTTTGAGTGAAACCGGAATTATTGATCAGATGACCGGAACCAATATCAAATAGGCCAGATGGTCCCATATTGTGAATCACAGATGAATAATTTGTCAGCATGTTGGATGCAGCAAAAGCTGCAGCACTGAGCTCCGCACTTGGAACAGCATAGTCTGAATGGATTCGAGTAGGCTGCGAACTTAAATTAAAGGGTGTCACGGGATTACTGACTAGACATTGATTTGCATCTGAAAAGTTCTCGTTGGTGTGTATATTGTTGTTGGTATTTTTGGATGGTGAGGAACAATTCCTCAAGTCCGATCGATTAGTCGATAAGTATGGGAACCCAGGTGGGAAAATCGGAGCTCCGCAAATGTTAGGAGTTGTTGACAGCCCGGGGTGGTAAGAATGTGGAATAAAGGGACACATATTCGGGCCTGCAGAAAGTGATTGTGTCTGACTGTCATTCAAATCGGATAAAGTTTGGGGATTTGAGTGGAACAAGGGTGAATGAAGTGGGTTTTGTGAAGAACATGGCAGCAAATTTGTGCCCTGGGTATACAAACAGTGTGCCGGTGGCTGGAAAGGACTGTCCAGACCATGTGGAACGAATCCTGTTCGGAGAAAGGGGACGAATGGATTTGGTAAGCCTCCACGAAGGACGACATCAAGGTGACGCTCACGTTTACGCCACTTTGCTCTTCGATTTTTGAACCAGACCTAAGAAATCGGTATCCAAAACAAAAATAGAGAGTTAGTCATTCGGTAGTGCTGTACGTGTACGACAGGGAAGCATCGGCGTGGAACACTGATTTTATGCTACTGATGTTGATGATGAATGCTTTACGTCGGATGAATTCAAAACATGCACTGTCCATATGGTCCAAATATCGCCTAATGGGTTAACTTTAATTTAGATTAAAGCCAGGCAATAAATGAATGAAAACTTCCTGATGGACGGTTCTGAAGAGGAGCGAGTGTATGGAATATATCAGAAAGCATCTTATGATAAGAACCGGGTAGACACCCGTTAATGCGCATGGCTTAGCTCGGCCCGGTGATCACATCCCACGTTGTCGGATGCTGTGGGTTAAAGGCTACATTCGTCCATTTGTGGGTTGTGGTGGACAGGCATCCGAATTGCCTGTCACATCGAACGACGGGGAAACATCAGGACAATTATAAAATGCATCAACAAGAATCAAATAAACTGCATCCTCAACTGGCCAAGGGTTACCAAGGTTCCACGGGTATATTTTGTAGAAGCCCAGACGAAATGGCCAAAAAGTGAACAGGCGCTGACATACTGCTTAACGTGTGTGTCGAACTGCGACAGATAGGCGTAACTAAGGTCAAGTGGTCTAAAGCCATAGATGCTTGGCGTAGAAGTTTCCTAGTTTTTTTTCGAAAGAAGAGGGTAGGAAACAAATGTTCCATCTACAGATACTAGACACAAAGCTATCGCTGATAGATCATCTGGGCTCTGAGAGATTTGCTGTTCAGTTCAACCCGGTTTGATGATCGCAAGACTAGAAGGAAGTGTTGGCACCTGAGAAATAGTGCATATCGACCAGAGCTGCGTCGGAAGTGAGATGATATGCCGATGACTTCGGGTATCCTAGAGATTGGCAAGTAAATGAGTGACAGAATGGTAAGAGAAATGGTCCAAAAGCGAGCCACACCTGCTTGGTATGGGACTATCACTAAATATTGATGGTTTTTGAACAGGATACACACAACGCAATACGTAAATCCGGTACAGCAAAAGTAAGGAGGGAGGAAAAAAGTAGATTGTCAAATATATGGTCAAACGAACCAGCCCACAGCTAATCAGAACAAGATTAAGTTCTATCGCCAGCAACAGTGACATGTCCATCAGCATGGTCACTGTACACTACCAGTAGCCGACTGCAGGAAGAAAGGTAATTCTCACTGACTCACAATGCCCTAGTTCAGGTTTTGAAGGTATTTGTGTACCATCCGTGGATTAGATCAGGGAACAGTCCTCCCTTGAAGATAGCTCCGACCTGCTTATATGGTATTTGTTGATAAGTCACTCAGAGCGTCCACCAATCAATTGGTGAAAAAGTTCTTACAATGTTCTAATTTCGCTCTCTACTGAAACAGGTTGAGCTGGTTGCCTCTGAGCGCTCGACTGTGAAATTTTGTGCAGGTCAAGATTGTCGTTCATGTATGGTGGCTTTTGATATGGAAGAATCTGTGGCAGTAACATAATCGTAACAGCAGTATCAGAGTAGGGGACTGGAAGTGCACGACCTACTTCGCTAAGTCCGAAATCTATGGAAGTAAAGGTGTTATATTCTTCAGGTGATTGTTGTGGGTTGATTAGTCGGGAAATAGCATCAACTTACTCGGAGCTCACTGTATGACCACACTGGATACTGGAATAGTAGACGAGTAGTATAATTCCCCAGTCCTGCATGCACTGAAACTGTCAACCGGAGCACCTTTGTGGAGCCAAACATTGCTAGTAGAGTTCAAGGATCGACATCCACAAATCATGTTAAGGCATTTTTTCAGAGCAACTACAAGCTACTGTTCAAACAAAGGCGGCTTGCAGAATGGCTTTTGCGCTTCTGTCGAGAAACATATGGCGACACGACAGTGCTCAAGCATGTCAGATAAACACAGTAAATTTTTGACACAATTATGTGGTAGTTTAATGGGTATCTAATTTGAAAGTACTATCACCTGCATTTCTTTTGTAGCTCGAATGGGAGGCAAGATTGTGGTGGCTGGCCACATTTTTCCGTGATTCCAACTGGTTTTCAAGGTAACTTCAAGGAGAGCATTATGCTGATTGGCATAAGGAATTGTCTCAACCCCGTCCAACTTACAATCACTAAAACAGCTACACGCCTATTTTTAGGAAGAGCTTCTTCATCCTCTGAGAAACTTAGCACGGTTTGCGAAGCCTGTGTGAAATGTGAACGAAAGACAGAACCGTGCGGCCCCACGGATAGTGATAAGGTAGCAAGTAATTAGGAAGCATAGCTACGCTTCTGTATGTACATACACGTTACCCCACGCACACATGCACAGTCACACACAGATGAACGCACACAAACAGGCCGTCAGGCCAGTACTCGCCAGTTTTAACATGCCTGCGTTGTTCTAAGTCTTGATTTGCACCTTGTCACGAGGTCAGTCGGTCGTGTTCCGCATTCACGCATTGGCTGGGCAGTAGACTGCCGTTCGAATTTGACCGTGATCCTCACCTCGTTCCAATCACAACACCAAGCAAAAGTTTTTTGAAGGATTATATCTTGCCGATGTAACCTCACCTATAGGAGGGTTTGAATCATGGCAGACGGTCAGTCTATCCTTGTCTGTGTGTCGACTGATTACTGGGTCGGGTTTCAAGTTCTCTCAAAAAGCCATCTACTTTGAAATGAGAGTATTCAACAAGTTTAGAGGAAATACCGTACTCGTACGAAGAATATCATGAACAAGATATTCAGCTGGGATTTAGATATGCATATGAATGTACTGGTCGTATTTACCATGTTCCATAGGTCTATCAATCATGGTCTCTAGTTTTCGTAGTGCTTCTGCGGTATTTCAAATCAATTTGCTGAAGTAGGGTTACGCAGTTCAACCAAAGGACCAAATTTATAGTTAGTGTGTAATTTTCCGGTTGAACCACATCGCTTCTAATCGTGCTTCCGCATTGATTGTCGATTTGTGCATTGGCCAAAACTGGGAAGTTTTTCAGCTGCTGTAATAATCTTAGGAACTTTAAATGGATGCCCCGCTAAGCGTTATTCAGACAGACTATGACCAGACAAGGTGACGCTTAAACAAGCGGGATTTCTCTGATGAGAGAATTAGGATGCGTTTATAATTCACAGTCAATTAATCTTAGTGAATGGGGTGTATTCACAATCCCAACTCTGTGTAGATGTGCCACTGACTCCTCACTCTGTGTGACAAGGGAGAAGGGGAGTCAATTCAGAGCTCAAAACATCCTATACTTCGAATATTGTTAAATGTGGCGTGATTCCATCTCCTGAATTCCCGTGTGGGTATGAGATGGGACATGATTAATCATGCTGATTTTTTCGCACCAACCTGCGTTTGGGCCAGAGGTGAAGCCGAATAAATGTCCATTGTCATACAGCTACGTTCGGCTACAAATACACGTATCGCTGCACCGGTTGATATGTTTACTTCTAGCATCAGAAGCCACAGTGGACACTTACCTTAAAACAGTTTCAAAATGACTGGATTTCAAGCAGTTACTAGTGCTAACGAGTAGTTCTCATTTTCAGGATGGAACAGGAAATAAAGGGTATCAAAATTAGTCAGTATACGTTTTGAGATTTTACGGTTCACTTTATGCAAGAAAATTTTTTTGCATCAAGTTTCAAGTTTTATTCATATTGAATTAGCATCACGTCGATCTTCCTGCTTAGGATCTTCAATTTTTTTCGTAACGGATAAGGACTTGATTATTAGAGAAGTTCTCTGGATTCAGCTGGATTTTCGACAGCAACATCAGTAGTGATACTGATGTTTCACTGCCTTGCAACCATGAAGTTCATCTAATTATATTTAAAATCTTGGAGTGAAAAGAAGAGCAGGCCCATGTCAAACATTCTGAAGTGTCTATACCTCCAAGCGCTCAGTCACACAATCTAGAAAGAAACTGGCAACACGAATGACACTGACCCCCTGTCAGCCTCCATTTCTTGCTGTTTCTAGCAAGGCACTTGCGGGGTCACGGGGCCCCACCCTAGAAGGCGAACAATACCAAAAACACCCAAACTTACCGTACTCGCTTTCACACCCTTCTACTAAACCAAAGGTTTTCCGCCTCGCGGTACGTAGCATTCTGAGGGGGCCATGAAGGGAATACTCGTCTCCGTAGACGGTGTTTCGACATACGTGGCACATGACCGAGCCAACGAAGTTAATGGTGCTGGATGTTTTCCGTGACTGAAGTATCTTCCATACAATCGAACATCTGTTTTTTAATCACCTCGTTGACGAGACCCTCCGTCGTCATCCAAAACCCGCGACGCTTCTGAGGCATCGGTTAAGAACCTGAAGACGTGTCACATCATCTGTCTTCAGGGTCCACGTCTCGCAGCCATACAATACATTCCTTACTGTAGCCTGGTGCACGCGGTCCTTAAAGCCCAGTGATAAATCTTTTTTGACACCACAAGTGACGCTAATTAGCGAACATAGCTCTAGCCTTTGAGATTCATGCACTGACTTCATTAGAGGTAGGTGAAGTAAGTGATTCTGAATTGATATTTTTCATTTTGTGTCTAGCAGCCGGTTGAGCGTGTTCCTTTTGAACGATATA